ATCATTACTGTCTAGGTACTGATTAAAGCTCATGCTATAACTGTTACCACTTCATCGCTTCCTCTACGCTTCCACTTTTCGTGTCTTTTGCATCGGGATGTGGGATGTGGCAGTAATGTGAATACGTCCAGCATAGTAATGTGCGCTGAAAATTCAATACTCATAGAAACCACGAAAAGGGAAACCCACTGATAGCCTTTGTGTCGGTTGATGACTGCAGTTCGCCAGAGATATCAGTGGAGTTATTCACTGGAGTGCCTGAGCTTCACGTGTAAGGAGTGGATACGAATAGAGTCTTGATTTTTGTTGTCTCTTACGAGCAGGGTTTCAAATTTTTGCCTCTTCACCTTTGCCACCAAGCAAGCTAGAAAGATGAGATTTTAAGAACCAAATTTTCGAGCCTTTTTTGAAGCCTGCTTTCTGATATTGCCGGTTTTGGGCTGTAGTTTCTGACAGGTTTTCACGCATGCCCAAACTTTGAATCATACGCAGATTTGAGTTCAAAGGACGACATCATTTCCATATCGCCAAATACAGTTCTTTCCAGCCAACATATGCAGAAATTGAGTGAAAATGGTAAGAAACGAGTATGCCGAAATATCTTTGCGGTACAGCAGCGCCTAAGTCAGTTAACGGGACGACGAGAAAGTGAGCTGGAACGAGCACGGGCATTTTTCGAACTACTCAACCATGATCCGGACCAACTGTTGGCGCTTATCCTAGAAAGAGGAGCCGTGTTTTCACATCTCGAGTACACTTATCTTCTTGCACTTGCTGTTAGGTATGTGTTTAAAAAATACCGTTTTCTTAAAAACAAATTTTATGTAAATCATTCTATTTTGGGGCGCCTTCGTTTTGCCGAGACATTTTTATCGGGGGAAAACACTTCAGAATTGAGTTAAATTTTGTGATGCTTAGGTTGGGGTTTCTATTACTGGATCCCAATATGATTTTTCATTCGTTTCAATCGTAACTTAGTGCTGGCTTGTGTCAGAAAATCGAAAAAAGACCGTCATCAGCATGTGATTCTTAGCAGCCTTCGAAAGAGGGGGCCATCAATATTCTTCTTACTAACGAATGATTATCATTCATTGGTATGTGCTGCTACCACTCTGACTACTTCTCCCAGCCTTTTTAGAAAGTGAATATGAGAGCGTTTAGATTTTTGACCTTGATCAAACACTGGTTCTACCCAGCCTTTTTTATTATGTTTGAAAATGTTGCAGGTCGCATCCTGTGCTTAGCGCACAGCCAGGTGCACTGGAACAACGTATCTCACAACTCAAAACGATCCTGGCACAGTTGAAAAAATGATGCGCAACTAGTGACAGCGCAGCCCTTTTAATATGCAGATTTCTAGCAATTCGGGATGTAAGTACCACCTTCTTGAATTGATGAATATCCGCTTACTTAGATAATACTTCATTTACTGCAGTGGAATTTCATCTTAGCAGAATTTTGAGGTCCCATTATTGCAGTCTGTTAATGCATTCCTGCTCCTGAACGATGAGATACCTCAGAGCAGTTTAAGTATGGCACCTTACGAGACAAGGTTATTTCGCTTAAGGGGGTTATTTCACCGTGGATATCTCGAAACGGTCAAAGCCTTGCCAAATGCTTCAGTCGGGAGAAGCACTGAACACAATACTAAAATAATTGGCCAGCGCACGAGCTGCCCGTGCGAAGAGCGTTTTTTGCATAGCTCCCCGCAGATTTTTATCGCTAACTGGTTTTTCTGGCAATTGCTTCCAGCTAAAAGAACTGGCCGCCAGGATTGTCAGGAAGCATCCCTTCAAAATCCCAGTCATCCAGCTTCTCACTTTCCCGAGTTAGCAACTTACCCGAAAAAAACTTTCAAG